ATTTACAGGAGATATATCTATAATCTGATACTAAAAGACAAAGACATATAAGGAAAATGAAAAAGTGAAAAGCAGGGGATGCAACAGCTATTTTAAACAAGCTTGCATTCAGAGACAGGTGCATTAAATGAATCTAAGAAAGAAAAGCACTTTAAAATAGAAAATAGAGGCACCTGGGTGGCTCAGTCAGTTAAACTGCTGCCTTCAACTCAGGTCGTGATCCCAGAGTCCTGGGATTGAGCCCCACATCAAGCTCTCTGCTCAATGCGGAATCTGTTTCTCCTCTGTATTTAGCACAGGAGAAGCAGATTCCGCAATAAATACAATCTTAAGAAAAATTGTTTTTTTAAAGTTCTTATATTTGTAAAATGTTCTGCATTCTTCAAAACAGGTAAGCATATACCATCTCATCTGATCACTGTAGTAAGAGAATGACAAAGTGGGTCAGTGCTGTAATCTTAGCATGACAAACAAGGACCCTTGGCTCAGAGACCTTGGGAGACACATAGGGCCCTGGGGCTGCCAAGTCCTTCCTCTACCTATTCAAACTAGTCCAGGCTCCTAGAGCATAGAATATTGGGATTTCCTAACATTGGGGCTGTATCAGGTGATTTCACAAACAGATAAGATGCCACCTGTTACACACTGGGAACAAAAGAACTCCAATAAACCTCAGTTAGATCTGCTTCATCATCCAAGGCATTCAACCTTGGTGATGGACTGATGTCCCCTCAATATCTGTATGTTGAAATCATAACCCCTCAGTCCCTGGAAATATGAGTATATATGGAGATAGGGTCAGTTAAGTTAGAATGAGTCACATGGTGGGTCCTTATCTAATGTGACAGGTACCCAGATGAGAGGAGATTAGGACACAGGCATACACAGAGGGAAGACCAAGCTAAGACACAGGGAGAAGATGGCCATCTACAAGGCAAGGAGAGATGTTTCAGAGGAAACCAACCCTGCCAACACCTTCATTTCTAAATTCCAGCTTCCAGAACTGTGAGAAATACCTTTCTGTTGCTTTAAGACATCTAATGCCCCTTTCATCTATATATACGGATAAAGTACTTTCTCTACTCTTTCATGGATCATCTGTGAAGGTCAATTAGAGAGTCATTAAGCTTGCTTATACCAACATTTTAAGAGAAACAACAATGTAGTCAAGAAAACATGACTTGGAAGTACCTTCTCCTATATGCTGAGTTTTCTTTTCAAAGGACTGAATATCAACCTGTTAGGAATAGAAAGCTTGTTGACCTTGGCTAATCCTCCTGCTGTTACTGTTCTCAGTGATGCATTTGATTTTTGATGGTCGTACATTTAAAAAACTGACAATCTGATGGCCTGTTCTAAGAGGACCCAAGCATATGCAGAAGTAATGTCAACAAGATCTTCAACTGGGGTGAGAGCTAGGGCATGTATTCCCATCTTTCCAGAGAGGGGACCTGATCCAGTGGCACAACTGAAATCCCACAGAGGCATTCTGCCATTATTAGAACCCGGCCCCACCTTGAACACCACGTAAGAAAAGGAGAAGGGTTTGGGAACTTGACATGTGGACTGGAGCGGCTCTCAGCCTCACCCAGCAATTCACCCTCTGCTCTCCACTGACCAGCTCTGTGGCTTTAGGTGAGTCCTTAATCCTGTCTCCTCATCCACAAAGTGGGATAACAAAGAACCACCACAAGGATTAAGTGAAATCATACACGAGAAAACTATGTAAGTTAAATGATAAAGAACTACTCCAATGTGGGAATGCAAGCTGATGCAGCCACTCTGGGAAACAGTATGGTGGTTCATCAAAAAGTTGAAAAGTGGAGCTACCTTACCATGCAGCAATTGCACTACTAGGTATTTGCCTGAAAGGAACAAATGTAGCAATCTGAAGGAGCACTTGCACCCCAATATTTAAAAAAAGCAATGTCCACAATAGCCAAACTACAGAAAGAGCCCAGATGCCCATCAACAGATGGATGGCTAAAGAGGAGGTAGTGTGTGAATGGACTACTATTCAGCCATCAAAAAAAAAAAATCTTGCCATTTGCAACAAAGTGGATGGAACTAGAGGGAATTATGCTAAGCAAAATGAGTATATTAGTGAAAGACAATTATCATATAATCTCACTCATGTGCAATTTATGAAACAAAACAGGATAATAGGGGAAGGGAGAGGAGAACAAAACAAGGCAAAATCGGAGAGGAAGACAAACCATAAAAGATTCAGTCATAAGAAACAAACAGGGTTGTGGGAGGGGAAAGGGCGATGGGGTAACTGGGTGATACAAACTATGTTAAGTAATTGAATTTATATTTAAAAAAATGAGAGCAAGACAAACACAAACATACAAAAACACATACACACAAAGAATTACCCAAATGTAACACTATTAATATTGTTAAATGAGGTGAAGGGTTATTGCACCAGGAGCCACAAGACTGCTAACTCTGTGATCTATGAACACTTCTGTACATATGTTACACTTGCATTAAAACATGTTAAAAGAACTGATTTCTAATTCTGTGTCTGCTGCAAGCTAGAGTTAACATAGGGTAGGGCCACCTTCCTTCTAAGGGTCCTTAGTGTCCTCACTTGTAAAATGAGGATGTTGAACTATATACTGTCTTACGTTATTTGGAACTATCTGTGATTTATTTCTCATTACTCAACGTCTTGATAATATACCATGATAACACATTTTTAAAATGGAGGTTTTGACTCGTAGGTGGGGACACATCTGTTTGATGTGAAATGCCTGAGGTCAAAGAACAAAGGGGTTTGTGAGGTTCCTGGCTGTTTTATGAGTAGATTATACAGGGGATCCCCAATGACTGGTTGGCTGGGTGTTATGAGGGGAACACTGCCTGGGAGATATGTAAGAGATGAAAGCGCTCAATTTCAGGCATGAAAGCAATACAGCGCTCCACATGTAACTTCTCTATATTCACGTAAATTGTAAAGATGTATGAAAAGTTCAGGACACAGATTTCCTCATCCCTAGCCCTTGGTTTGAATTCTAATTCTACCAATTATTCAGCCAACTGTGTGACTCTAAACAATTTCCTTTCCCTCTGAAAGTCCCGGGCTCTTAAACCAGCACCAAGACAAGAGAACCTGTATCACAGCATAGTGCATGGTGCATGACAAGTGTTAGAGCCTCATCCTGTTCCTCCACATGGCTCAGGATATAAACTGAGGATCTCTCCTCCTTTCAATTCTTGGATTTATACTGGGGTTGACTAAGGAACATATATGACACATTAGTTCCCAGCATAACACTGTGCACACATATACACATTGAGCAGTTTTTGAGGATGCAAGCAGGATTCAAAGAAATCCCCTGTGGAAGTATAGCTCTTTATTTATAAGGAGGGATGAGAGATGAAGCAGTGACAGAAGAGAATTTAGGCTGTGTTTTGGATAAATCTCTCATACATAAGTACTGTTAGATATTGGGACAGATATTCTCCAGATACTTAAGACATTACACAATTCTTTCTTACAGTGAAAATCCGGTAAATGCAGAAAAGGATGAAAAGGGAGACACCCCCATAATTATAATGCCTAGACAGAAACAGTTCTGATGGGGAGCCTCAAAAGACTGCAGGTCCCATTCCACCCCAGCCATGTATCTCAAGTGGTAAGAACACCTGACTTTCCTTTCCTCCCCCAATTCCCACCTTGTATAAGAAAGAGTTATAGGGGGATCCCTGGGTGGCGCAGCGGTTTAGCGCCTGCCTTTGGCTCAGGGCGCGATCCTGGGGACCCAGGATCGAATCCCACGTCGGGCTCCCGGTGCATGGAGCCTGCTTCTCCCTCTGCCTGTGTCTCTGCCTCTCTCTCTCTCTCTCTCTCTCTCTCTCTGACTATCGTAAATAAATAAAAAAAAAATTAAAAAAAAAAAAAAAAAAAGAAAGAGTTATAGGTAAGGCTGGACACTAGCCAAGTCCCTTAAAGCAGCTCTCAGTTTTCATATCACACCTGTAGAATGAGACACTCCATTATTGCTATTGGAAAGATACCAGATAATCTGAGTGTTACTCATAGAGCACCTTTTTCTGACCATACACAGTGTTTAGTACTTTCGCACACATCATCTCTGTGAAAATGCTTGATAAACCTTCAAGGACCATTCAGATGGTAGCATCAGGATAGTATAGATTCTTGACTGTCCCAATGACAATTTCATTATCTAGAAGGCAGAGGAAGCATAAGGAGAACACTAGGCCTAATTCTAAACAACCGAAAATCAGGGACAAACCTGGGTAGGATGTGTCAGGCAGTATCATGCAGTTTTCTACACGAATAATAAAACAGAGAAGCAACCTACACGTTTCCCTGGTAGATCTTCCTAGCCCCGAGAGAAAATATCCCACATTTTTCCCCCAACTCTCGAATTTTTCTGAATGTTCAGTGACCACATTTGCATCTCAAAGGTGATCACCAATAAAATGAAATGTAATGGGTCCGGGAAATGCGAACATTCTGTGCCACGGGAACATCTGAACCCACAGAATGGAACATGTGAAATCTCTTTGGAATCTGATCTCTCTCTGCAATTAGGCAAAGGTGCCTACACACGCCAGGGTGCCCACGTGCCCACTCACCTGGGCACACCAGGATGCGTTCAGGGTCCCCACGTGCCCACGCACCTGAGCACACCACGGTGCGCTCCAGGTCCCCGCGTGTCCGCGCACCTCAGCACGGCACGGTGCGCTCCGGGTCCCCGCGTGTCCGCGCACTAGCGCGCCCCACGTGCCCGCACATGTAAGCGTGCACACCTGTGGCACCCCCGCGCCCCCACGGATTCTGCCGATTCTCAGCAGACCTGACTTCAACCTGGGACGTGTTGTTAAGACCCAGCCATGAAGCGCTGTCTCTGAAGGCTTATAATTGAAAAGGGCACAGGGTGCTTGTTACAGCACCCCCGGTGCCAGGTTGCACGGAGTGAACGGCTGCAAGAAACTTTAATTACCACTCCTTGCGGCGAGCTCACCTGTTTTGCTGTTTCAGTGAGGGCCGCCGCTGCTGCCTTGCCCAGTTGCTGCACCATCTTGTGAAACAGGCTCTCTTCATTCTGCAGCAAAACATATGGTTCATCATATTCTTTCAGTCGTCCTGAATCCAAAACCTGTTAATCAGCAGAAAAGAAACCCATTAGCACACAATGTTTTGCAGCAACATATTATAACTCAGACAATATTTCGGAAAGGGGCAGGGGAAGGAGAATAGAGAGAATCCATTTGGGTGGTAGGTCTGGCTGGTGTTTAAATGGTCTGATTACCCCGTTTTCCTAAGCAGACAAAGGCCTAGCCCGACCTTTTATTATTATAATGTTATAGGAAAAGAAGAAAATGAAAGTTTTAAACTATGATTATGGGCACTCAGCAGACCTGTGGCATTTTATATTCTGCCAAAGGCATTTTGGGTTGTGATTAGTTAGTGCTTTTGGCTCTCAGACTCTGAGGTTTGAGGGCTATTTATACATACATTCAGAGTTGGGGAATTTCTTGATTTCAGAAAATCAAAGTCAATTTACCTAAAAAGTAGAGTGATGTCATACAGATGGCAGCGGCCTGACAGCAAATTAATTGCCAAGCTGGTCTGACAGCATCTGAGAAATATTTGGAAAAGCTTCTGGAATTTCTTTAGGGTCCTGGAACATGTCAGCCAGTAAGAGGGGACAAAATGCCCCTGGCAGCAAGATTAAGGTGCATCGTCAAATTCGCGTTGGTTGGAGCTTATTATTCTGGGAGTGAAAGACTGGCTAAAAGAGCTGCTACCTAAGCAGCTTTAGCATAATTGCTCTGCACAGAAGAAATCTCTAGAAATCCAATTTTCTCTTTGGATAAGACTAAAGAAGTAATTAAGAAACTGAGCTCCAAATTCCAGCGATGATGACCTGCATGGTACATGGGGGGCAGCACAGTCCCTGTTGCAGGGGATTTGACTATCAGTTTTCACAATTATCTTCCCTGCTTCCTTTTCTCTTTCTTCAGCTGCCTGCCTTTCAGCCATTTTATTGCTCATTAATATGTCCACTAATTGGAAATTGAAAGGGAGAGGAAGGGGCTCTTAACTCTCCATTTCTACTTATTAGTAGCTCTGGTTAATGGTCTGGTCGGGAAGAAAGAGGCTGAAACAATTGGCCCAAATGCTGTACCTAGGAAAACAGTTCTCATGTTAAGTGGCACTTAGGTCTTCATTTGGGTGGTATTTAAAGTAAATTTATCTTAAGGGGATACGCTGAAACTCCAAGCAGGACGCAGGTTGTTTGTCCACATCTAGGGATTGAAGTTAATTTTGTCCTGTGGTATTTAATCGGAAACATTTATTAAGTCTCATAAAGGCATTTTCCTGTTAATCTTTTGTTTACTACTGTGAATCACGGCTAAGGGCAGCTTTCTCAAAAGAGTTCAAGAAGAATTGAATCTGTCACAGCCACATAATAATTAAAATGTCCTATAATTTGGCATGCCAATTTAGATGCCCCAAATGTGTAATTTTACTTAAGCATAGCATTATAGACCATAACCACTCCTCCTGATGTTGAAGAAGAAGAAAAAAAGCAATTGTAAAATACAGGTTTCTCACATGCTTAATAAGTAAATAAGTGAATCAAATTACTTCATACAATGAAGAACTTTATATTGTGCAGAAGCAACAACTTTTGAAAAATCACCAATAAAGAGTTGGTGGAAAATGAGTTCTCCGACCATAAAGACTAATTTTTAAGGGAATGAAAGTATTACTGATATTTTTGTCCATGTTCAACTTTGTACTTTATTGAAATCTAAGTGAATAGTAAATTTTTCCACTTTCTCTCATATTGTCTGAAAACACACAAATGCCACTGAGATGAGTAGTTCTCAGAATCGGCCAGTATCTGAAAAAGCAGAGCGGGGGGGGGGGGGGGGGGGATGATGCTCTCAAAAAGCAACAGGGATAGCAATGTAAATGACCAAAAGATTATTTTGGTTGAAATACTTTGAGCCTTCTAAGTATTAAATATAATGCAACGTAATAAAGAATGAATGTCTTAAGAGTTAAAAAAAAATTCAATTCATAATAAAATAGTGGTCTTTTGAATTTGAAAAGAAATAAAAATAGCCGTGGATTGAACACTCATTGTATGTCATAGACTTTATAGACATCACTGTTAATTCTCAAGGTAGACAGGGTACACAATTTCCTTCCTTCTTCCCTTCCTTCCTTCCTTCAATCCATCTACCCATTTATAATTCCTTACTTCTTACCTTCCACTCTCCCATCCATTCATCCATCGATCTATCCAGGAAATAGTTATACCTAATACCACAGCACTGTTCTAGGAACAGGAACTTCAAAGATGAGCAAAACAACATTCTGTCCAAAAAACCCATAGCCAGAGATGAAGACTGAGGTGCTGATGTGTTCATTAATTTGCCTAGGCTTCCGAATCAGTAGAAGGCAGAGGTGGGATTCAAACCCAGGGCTGAATCCCTATTCTTTTCTCTCCATGTCATTTTCCAGGGAATGACCATTCGATTATCAGAAGCAAAATAAGGGAGATGAGAATTTTAATATTCAATTTTGTAAGATGCCTTTCCATAATATCGCATATTGACTTCATATAATTTAAGAAAAATATGCCTATAAATGCAAACGTTTGCCCCTGTCCACTTTCCACTGCATTTTTATCATACTCAGGGCTCAAATTATTTGCTGTGTGCTTGGTAGATGGATAATCACAGAAAAAGAAAACCAATTTTATGAAATTTTTAGGATGAATAAAGCATAAGTTAACACACGGCAAAGACACATTTGAGGAAACTAAGTAAACCTTCATTAATTTATGAATTTATGCCCCAAACATTTGTTGCATACTTGCATTCATGTCATCCTGCGAGATGCTGTGGAGGAAGCAAAAGGTAAGTAAGTCATAACGGCTGACTTTCTGGAGTCCATACTGAGAGAATGAAGTGCTCAAATGTCTATAAAGCATGAAAAAAAGCACAAAGGTGACCTGAGCAGCAGAAGAAAGGATTTCTGGCCACAGGTTCTGAGGACAACCTTCAAGACAGAGAGTTTACTAAATGGAGCCTGAAAGAATGGGTAGGCTAACACAGAGAAGTGAAGTGGGTCTGAGGATGGACAGTGGTCATTCCAGACCCAGAGAACAGGAGCCAAGAGGTCTGGAGGCAAGTCTCTCAATTCCTTAAGGGCAGGATGATGCAGTTTCCCTTGTTTTCTGTTGCATCTCTTCACGAGGAGTAGGCACACAAAATTAAATACAAAGGAAACTGGCTAAAAGTTAAATACAAAGGAAACTAAATTTGGGGCATGATGACATGACTGCCCAGTGCTATAGTCTGATAGGACTTCAGGGTGAGATCAAGTGAGGAGTGGGTGTAGCTGGTATTCGGAATCGGGTGATGGGATACCAGGATGGCAATACTAGGGACAGAGACTCAGAGGACCACAGGACCACAGAGACTCAGAGACTCAGAGGCTCAGAGGACTCAGAGCAACTCAGGTTGCTGCGTGGGCAAGGAGAGACACATGAGGGACAGCCAGACAGAAATGAAACAAGGGACAGTCAAAGAGGAGAGAGCTCTGGCAGAAACAAGAGTGCTGAGCTACCAAGACTCATGGTCCAGGTGCTACAGTGCCTCTTGGGGAGCAGTCCTGGAACTCAATTGAACCCACTTCACCTTTATATTACTGGCTTGAGCAAAGATTCCAGATCTTTGAGAGTAACTAAAACATGAAGGAAGCAACTCCAGATTTTCGTTACGTACAGAAAAACAGGTATAATTCTGAGTTCTTATTTTTAACATCTTTTACATCTTTTATATAAGAAAAAGCTCCTGTGTTTTCCTGCTATGCCCCCAACTCTCCAATAGCCAAAGTCAACAACAAATGAAAACACACATCTGAGCGGGGGTGGGAGCAATCTCATAGTGCCAGCATCTCTCCAGGAACGCCAACCTCAAATCACTCGTGCTCTCTAGCAGGTTAAGGAAAAATACATTATATTGGATGACTCAGTCAGTCAGTTATAGAAACTCAATGAAGATGTGCTTATCAGGCCTGAGGATCTGCAGATATTCTGGGTAGCTGTCCTAGAGATAAAAATTAAATGGACCAATTGCAAAATAATCTAATCCATTTTAAATGGTGGGATGCCATCAGTGATAGCAGGATGGTTGCAGGGAGAGGCCGGGAGGGGGGGATGGGGAGAGAGAAAACTGGCAAAGAGCAAAGAGATGACAACAACCAACAAAAGGAGATCCCACTGAGCAGCAACTAGAGCGAAAGGATCAGAGTTTCAGACATTTGCTTTTGGTGGGCTGCTGACCCAGAGGCAAAGGGACAGTTACCCAGCCTTGGATGTTGGGTCCCTGACTGGTCAGATGGGTGCCTGTGATTTTCTCTGAAGAAGAGAAGATCTGTGAGAAGATACTGTGGCAAGTATTACTCAGAATCCTTTCTTAGGTCTTGAAGTGGTCAACCAGCATCACTTAGGGAAGAGGACTGAAGGCTGGGTCACAGCAGCCACCTGAGCTGCTCCCTCAAATTCATGCTGTCATATGTAGGCACCCACCCCCTCCCCAAGTATTTTTTCTCTGAGATTGTGCTTTCTACCTTCCTAGTAGTTCTTTCCTTCTGAAAACCTGAATGAAATCTCTTGGTGTATTGTTTGAGGAGCATTTCTCTTCTGAAATGCTCTAACTCTGGCCATGGATATAGGCTCACTGAAGAAAAATTCCATCAAGGTGAAAAAAAGAAATAAAACTCCACTTAGTTTGGAGATTCTTTTTTTTTTTTTTTTTTTTTTGCTTTTCCAAGGTAGATGGTGGGGCTTGGGGGGGGGGGGGTGTATGTTACAAGCGTTTCTGGGTTTAAGGTCTTTGGAAAGAACTCAATTAAAAGGGGCTGGAGGGACACCTGGGTGGCTCATTGGTTGAGCGTCTGCCTCTGGCTCAGGTTGTGATCCTGGGATCCAGTCCCACATTGGGCTCCATGCGGGGAGCCTGCTTCTCTATTTCTCTGCCTCTCTCATAAATAAATAAAATCTTAAAAAAAAATAAATAAGATACAGAGAGCCTGGAGTTGAGGAAGAAAGGTAAAGACTACAAAACTGTAAAATGGACTGTAAGTAGAAGAGGTGGCCTCTGGGCTTCTCATCCCCAGCTTTTCGTTCTCTAGAACTCCTTAACCCTCAATGGTGAAAATGCTGAACCCAGGAAGCAATGCGGCGGGGGTGGGGGGGTGGGGGGCGGGGGTACTGTCAGGAGTTGAGGGTACGCAAGAATGAAGAGGAAAAAGTGATACCACCGGCTGAAGAGAAGATAGGTCACAAGTAACCAACTAATCCTCAAACTACAGGGAAGAAGCCGTCTTTAACGCAGAGATAGTGGTGAGTATTAGGAGAAAGAGGATTTCTAATTTGTCTGTCTTGCTCCACTGTTTTGTGGCAACTGAGCAAATGAGGAAGATTAAATTAGCTGTCATTATGACTACATCATGTTTAATAAAGTTAAAATTGAAAGAACATCTTTGTAAAATAGAATTCTAAGCCTAACACATTAATGGCGCTTAATGAACCAAAACTGGGTAAATCCCTTTGGAGAGCCAACACATAAACAAAGCTATTAATTAGGTCACAGTTGTTTCCCAACAAGCCTTTTGTTTGATTTACTTACAGTAAACAAAACCATATCCATTCGTCTTTGTGCAGAAGTATTCACCAGTGCAACAAAATGTAATTATTACACCGTGAGCACGTGCAATTACATGACTTTACGATGACAGGGCTGTTGGTTATGCCCTTCATTAGTGTCCGTCATTTACACAGCCACTCCCTGAGGCTGGCTGCCACCCTCCACCAACACCTGCCACACCACTCTCCAGAAGAGCAGGCCTTGTAGCTGACTGACTCGTCTCCATGGCCCTAAAGCTTTCAGAATAACAGAACAGACCATCCCTTGTTTTGTGGAAAGGAAATGGGTATTTCTAAAGTCAGCAAGAAAAAAAAAATGTACCCCAAATTAAAAGTTTGAGAAAAGAACATTATTTATGGTGTTTTGCTGGATTAAAAGCCAAATGCTAATCAGAAACTCTACAATAAAATAGGTTTCCACCCGGAGTGGATGGAGTGCAGAGGACAAGACCCCAATGATGAGGCTAGGGAATGCACACCACCTGGGTCCCCTGAGGTCTAATCCTGCTATTCCCTGTCAAAGGAGCCAGCAACCAAAACCAGCTATGACCAAGATGGAAGCAAGTGGCCATGTTGACCTCCCCTGGTGGGAGCCCCGGACTGAAGGTCCCCCCAATCACTGGAGCGGCAGCCCCATGGGAATATGCAAAATTCACCACAAAATTAAGGTCCCTCTGGGCACAGGTCATAAGCTCCGAAGAGAAACTTGTACTTCTCATCTCCAAACCGACTTCTCCCTCAGTTCCCCCAACTCCACCAGACCTCAGAACCCTTCCTTCACATGCCAGGCTCAATCCATCATATTGTTGTTTATCTGCCCCCAATCCAACCTTCTCACCATTTCCATTCCTGGAGACTTAGTCCGAGCTGCCAGCATCCTGTTGAACCCAAAGACAACAGACAGTTTTAACTCTTAAATATGCGGGTTTCAACTCCCTCCTTAAGGAAAAAGGTAGAGCAGAGAGAGTGAGGTCAGGACAATAAGGAAGGGAGGGGCTGTAAAGTGCTCTGCCAAACCACACTGAGGACTTGGACAAAGAAACTGCCCAAGAGAAAAATCTGAGGTTCTTGAAATTTACCAGGAGATACTGGTAAGGAATGCATTCCACAAATTGACCTATTCTGATAATGGCAAGGAAGCTGACTGGTAAAGAGAATACAGAAGTTTCCAGCCATGGGTCAGGTGCTGATGGGTAAGATTAAGGAAGGACCAGCTAAAGAGTCTGGGAGTTCTGTTGTTTGGTGTTTCCTTAACCGATCATGCATTCCAGAGCCACAGTATTCTAAGTATTTCTAAGAAGGAGATGAAACAAAGAAGCTACCATCACTGTGGTCATACCAAAACCAAAAATAAATCTATATGGTACATTTAGGAGCAAGGATTTTATTTGGACCAGCCCCCAACAGAACGGGAGATCAGCCCAGCTTGCTGCTTCTGCCCCCAAAGCTTCACAAAGCACATCAGACAGGGAAGCTTCATGGCTTCACTCACCCTATTGTGAGGATAATGTGTGCCATTCAATGCCAAGAGATGAGAACACAGTGATGGGAAACAAATGGGAATGAAAGGTTATTTTTCCAATTACTTCTTAAGAACACAAAACGAAGGCATAAGGATGCATGATGCTAAATGTTTCTGGAATCTTAAGAGAGTCACTGTCAGGCCATCATGGAATGTCACAGGGTAGCTCATGGAAGTCAGGTGGAGTGACCTGCTTCCTACTGTGATGTTCTAGTCCAGGTAGGCCACATCCTAAAGCATCCTAAAGCATCCTTTAGGTTGGGAATACCCAACTCTTGTGTCTGCCCCGTCAGATCTCATTCCTGTACATGTCCTGGTCTGGGGAGTGCTAACATGGAAGGTAGCGCGCGCTTCATCATGGAGACCTGGAATTTCTCATTGCTCCCAAACAAGCCCCTGCACTAATGATCCCACCTGACAGTGCATGAGAAGCAGGGTAGGAGGGACTGTTGCAGAAACTACCTGAAAGATTCAAAGGAGACAGCTTCATTTTAACCGGACATAAGGAAGTTTGGATCTTACTATTTATTCTTGATCATTAACCTTTTTACTACAGATCATCAAAATCACGGGTTAACTCCATTTGTTGCCTCTCATACACTATACAGGCCTTCTTTATTTATTTACTGCTTCACCACTGATCAAAGTATCACTGGATACCGTGGTGTCTGGTGCACCACGGTATCAATGGTCAGCGTCCACGAGACAGGTAAAACTCAGCCTGTTGCCACAAATGGGGACTCAGCCTGAGCATTCCTCCAGATTATTTGCATCTAAACACTTTTCCTTTGAGGGATGACTTCCTCTCATTTTATAAAGCCACATCCTAAGATTTATTGAAAACGAGTAAGCAACAGAGGAAAAGGAGACAAAAGAGAAAAGAGAGGAAGATAGAGACAAAAGGAAGAGAGGGAGGGAGAAAATAAGGAAAGAAAAATAAGAAAGGAAAGATGGAATTACTATGAATGAAAGAGCCAATCAAACCTAAAAGGCAGCAGATAGATACCTAGAGACCAAAGCTTGGAGCCTGCCAAGTGTGCGGTCCCCAGATCTACCAGGGAAGAGATTTGCTGGATGCTTATCTAGTCTCAGCAGCCTCAGATCCACCTTCTATCCTACAGTCACACCTGAGATGCTGAGGCTGGTTTCTGCAAATCCCAAATCAGAGACACTTTGGACCAGGGGTACTCTGTTGGGTTCCACCAGCAGGGGGTATGAGAGGGGATACTGACGGTGGGCAATGAAGCAAATGGGTGCAGTCGTTTATGCCAGTCCTGCAACATAACCCAGGGACTGCGACCTGGCACCAGCCCCCAGCATCCATTAGAGCACACACTGAGAACTAGCCTCATGGTGCCCCTCACAGATGTGACCAGCAGCTGGACAGTGGCTCTCCTTGGAAATCTGAGCATAGGAGTCTTCAGGGTCTCTCCTCTGCCATGCTCTGGTCTGGAGATCTGTCCTGGGGTTCAGGTGCGTCCAAAAATTATTACCCTGGTGCCTCCCTTCCACTTTTTCAGACCTCCAATTCTTATATTAAATCCCCTATATTAAATTTTTTCTTTGAAATACTCGGTGTTTTGGACTTGGGCCTCTCTTCTCACAGACTGCCGTCTAACATTACATCTTGCGAACATCTCAATAGCCAAGAAATTTTGCAACTTAACCAACAACCGCTCACAGGCCGAAATGAAAGGCTAATTTTCTGATTAATAGAACCCAAAATACTTGGGACACCTGGGTGGCTCAGCAGTTGGGCATCTGCCTTTGGTTCTGGGCGTGATCCTAGTCCCACATCTGGCTCCCCACATGGAGCCTGCTTCTCCCTCTGCCTGTGTCTCTGCCTCTCTCTTTCTCTCTCTGTGGCTCTCATGAGTAAATAACTACAATCTTAAAAAAAAAAAAAAAAAAAAAAAGGAGGGAGAGAGAGAATCCAAAATACTGAAACAACAGTGACACGGTGACAATGAGTATTTTATGACTCTGTAAGAGGAGGCTAGATCTTGGATTTGAAATATTTCCATGGCTGGCCATCTTCAAGGAAAAGGACAATTCAAAGAAACTTCTAATATGGAAATATGAAATTATTATATTATTTAACAGTACACTCTGAAGGTATAGTTAAGTACAGAGTTACTGTCAGGGAGGACAGGAAAAATGACAGACAACTAACTTATTGGAAATTTCTATCAGGTTGTACAAGGAAAGTTAAGTTGAAAAACTGAACATAAATGGAAACACCTGGAAACCCACAGGTGAGGGTCTTACCATTATCTTGTCGCTGTCAATAATGGTGTTCAACCTGTGTGCAATGGTTAGCACAGTGCAGTGGGCAAATTTCTCACGGATTTTTTTTTGTATTAACTCATCAGTTCTGGAACCAAAGGAGTTGGATTTAGTTCAGTAAAAGGGGAAAACCAGACTTAAGACTTAAAACAATCACAAGACATTTTCATAATGATTTTAAGAGACAAAGACATGGTCTTCTTGAGAAACGGAGTATAAAAAACCTATATAGAAACTTCCTATTTTGCATGTAAAATATTAATATTCTTCCTTCAAAAAAAAAAACAACAAAAAAATATTCTTCCTTCAAACTGCTTGAAACTATCAGGAGTTGAATTTAGGAAATTAGCTGTGTTAAGATACCTAATAATATTATTAACACTGTGTAATTTGTTTGGGTTGCTTCCCGTTTCCCAGAATGTAACATTTATCAAGGTGTCTTTGGGGTGAAGAGAGCACTTAGAAACATTTCTCAGCATCATTAAAGGTTTCCCATTGACCATATTTAAAATTTGGATTCCAAGGCTCATGAACCTCAGGTCTGTACCTGGGATCCACATTTGCTGTCGCTTCGTCAATGATCAATATCCGATTTTTCCTGAGGATAGCCCTGGCAAGACACACCAACTGTCTCTGTCCAACACTAAAGTTCGATCCTGATTCTGCTAATTCAGTGTCCAATTTGCCAGGAAGATCTTCAACAGCATCTTTAAGCTGTACCTGTGGACACAGAAAAAATCACATCTTTACAAAAGTAGACAAGTGGATGTGGGAGCTCAGAAGTAGCTTACATGTCCAGTCACATGATGGACAGTAGGGTTACTTCCAGCTACCGTTTACTGAAAAAGATGCACACCATCAACTCAGCACAGAATTATTCTGACTTAGGAGCACAATCTTAAAAGGAATTGAGAGTGTTCTGTGTTGCCATCAGTAGACACCATCAGTTCATGCATGAAGAGATAACTACTATGTTGAATAAAGCTATTCTCAAGGTAAAACAAGGAATAATTTAAAATGCTCCCTCTTAATTTTTAGATAAAGATAAATGTAGGAATTTATATATAAGACACAAAAAAGCACAATGGTGCTTGCCTGGGGGCAGACAGTTAACTATAAATACACAAGAGAATTTGAGGTGGGGAGGGGGAGTGACAGTAATCTTCTAAAATTGGTAACTACAAATTTACCAAAGATCACTGAATCACACATATAATGGGGGAATTTTCTCGTATGTAAAAATGATACCTCAATAAAGTTGGTGAAAAGAAATCTTATCATTATCCCCCATCTCTGCCATATGACATCCACCAGGAACCCCTTCCTTAGAATTAAGGAAATCCCTCAAAAAACTGAAGCTATTTCCCTAAGTGTAGTCTAAACAATTAAAAAAAGTTAAAAGGATCATCATGCTTGAGTCAAGTTTCCCCGAAATACACTTTGTACATTAAGAGCTAGTACACCAGGAGAAAAAAATTGTTTCATTATTGCAGGAAGTGTGGTTCTCAAAAGACAGAAATGTGTGAGCACTTTATCATTTTGGAAGATTTTAATGGCAAAAACAAAATAAATTTAAACAATGGAAACCACACCACATATTAACAAACCTGGAACCATTTTGGAAATGGCTCCTTCCCAAATTTAATCCCTACTGCTAGACCAGTCAAGTACAGTTCCTTTAAACTCATGTTTTGCAGTGAAAGAAAACAGGGTCCAACATCAAATCTTATTTCCCCCACACTCTGAGGTTAGATACTGTTTATATTAATCTATCTTCTATATAAGATTTTAATTTCCAAGAAAACAAAAACAAAAAACAAACAAAAAAACCTTAAACACCAAAAGTAATCTGAAATCACACTAAGTGGTAGAGCTCAGCCCCATGAATACTTGGTTTGGGGAAATTTTACAGAGTAAGAACCAAACTCATGCTATTCTTGAGAGCTGGAGAACAGACAGTAAATGTACTTCAAATTAAGAGACCAACAGATTGATGGATGGTGGCCAATAAGGAGGGACACAGAAATAAGTATCAAATGACAAAACACAAGGTGACTGAGCAATATTTTGACAGCGATCCTAAATGCTGAAACACTTGTGTGAATAGAATTATTGTGCTTAAGATGGTAGCCCAATCCACAGAAATGGGAAATATGAGTTAGATTTCAATATGATACTGGTACTCAGCATTAGCGTGAAAGGCATATAAAATCTAAAGTATAAAATCTGGATGGTGGCGGCCAGACCTTGCACTAAAATTATGAAATGGAAGAATTAGGCTTAATCAACCCCATTCCCTACAAAGAGGAGGGCCTCTTTGCAAAGAATACAGGTGATTCTTTTGATGAAATCTATTCATAGATCTATACCCCCAGGTGATGGAACCAATCATGGCTTTCATTAGCTTTTCCTTCTGAGTTGATGTTGGCAAGACCTATAGAAGCCAATGGGTCTTTCTTAAGGCTGATATCCTGACTTTGAAGAGATAACTTCATGCTTGCCCGACTCAGATGACAGCTTACTAGCCTGTTTTTTTGAAGATTTTATTTATTTATTCATGAGAGACACAGAGAGAGAGGTAGAGACATAGGCAGAGGGAGAAGCAGGCTCCATGCAAGCCCAATGTGGGACACGATCTCGGGACTCCAGGATCACGCCTGGGTCAAAGGCAGGCGCAAAACCGCTGAGCCACCCAGGGATCCCCTAGGATTATTTTTAAGCTAAAGAAAATAATAAACTACACCAAAACTGAAAATAATAAGCTGAATTTATAAGACACCCATTTCCATCATAGTGAACCTTGTCAGAGTAACCCAGTATCTGTGCTGAATCTACTAGGTGCTAGGATCCCTCATACTAGGCTAACACAGATGTCACACGATCTCCACATTTTGTTGAATTTTCTTTTCGAACACAAAGGCTGATGTGAGCTGGAGAGAGAAGGCAGTCTGAAATGCAATCAACCAACAGGTGGACAAGAGTTTTTATTAGAACTAAACCAATAGTAATGAAGTAAAGGGGAAGCTGATTGATCAAAATGAATGGCCTCAGGAGAAATGTAAATACAACATCACGAAAGCAAGAGCTGCAGTACATTTCCCCATGCACACACTGCTGAGGCTCAGAGTTCTGGGGCTTAGTTTCCTATATGAGAAAGACTCATACTCTAATAGAGGTACCATCAGTGTGGAACATAAATAGACAACTTCTCCCTAGTTCTAACAGGACATTCCCCTACTCTTAATTGCATATGCCAGTAATAAAGCTGTTTGGTGCTGTTTTGTTCAGAAGTGTCAAAACTTGGACACTCAGCAGTATATCTATTATGATCTTTTAGCCCCTGCTTGATTTGCAGTCATTACTTGTATTAAGAACTCCCAGTGCTTTGTAGGTGTCCCAATTGCCACCAATTTCTAATGTCTGGTTTATGGCTGTTTTTAAATTTATGAAAAAAGAGCCCAGATGAGATGGGCAGCATGCACAGTACAGCCACCCTTCAAACGTCTACCTCATCTAGGAGAGGAGCGGGAAACACCAGAAGAACCTTAAAAAAAAAGAAAAACCTTAATTGGAGGCTTTTAAAAAATTAAGATTTTATTTAGTTACTTGATGGAGAAGAGAGCAAGTGCAAGCAGGGGGAGCAGCAGAGGGAAAAGCAGGTTCTCTACTGAGCTTGGGGCTATATCCCAAGACCTCGGGATCATGAAGTGAGCTGAAGGCAGAGGCTTATCTAACTGAGCCACCCAGGCGTCCCTTCACTGAAGTCCTTAAAGAGGAGAAAAATAGTAGTGTTCTCATACTGGCTCTCAGGCCAACCCTATGAATTTGGGTTCTGTTTGCAGCTAGACATCATCTGTAAAGCATCTGACGGGGGTCTACCTTTAAGGGAGCTGCCAAAGATACCAGGTCTAGTGATGATGCTCAGGTTTGGAAACAATGGGAAGAAGCAAGCCGTGGAGACGGTGGGTAGACGGAACACGATAAATTGAAAAGAGCCTGAATGGCACTTGTATGCTGCACCGTCTATATGGTGTCTCTCCAGGTAAATGCACATATATTACATCCTGATTACAGTTTTAGGGAAGGTACGTTCTTTGTCCACAGTTGAAAGGCCTGGAGATTCGAAGGATTCCAGGTGAAGGGTGCCTACCTAATCTATTACAGAATTATCCCAACCTCTCTGAACAGGGCCATGAAACCCACATAAATACTATGAAGTCTGTAGTATTTCATCTGCCAAGAGTATGATCTAGAGAATAAAAGCAATAAAGTACACGGGAGAAAATCTGGAGAACTCAGAAAAGCCAAAGCGGAGTGAGGGGAAAAAAATCCTTATTTTTCTATTATCTCCCAAATAAGCAACATTTATGTTTTGATGCCTTTCTTAGGTACACGCTTCAGAATCTATATGCTAATACAACAGTTTCAATCATCTGTAAATACAATGCTATATCCATACTTTAAGAAAATCTACCAAAGCTTTTGTTGAAAAATATACATGTCATGAAGAAATAATTCCTAGAGAAACACAACTATGGGATGAATTTTCACTCAAAGAGGTACCACTAAAGCAATGAGGTCAATTCCAGAAGCAACACATGAAAACTACACACTTCACTTTGTGCAGCAATCCTGTTTATTTCTATTTAAGGAAGTCCCAAATGTAGTCAAAAGAAACTAAAGGTAGAGCTTACAAAACCACTTCCATCACATTATAATTAGAATTATGACAGGCTACTAAATTTCATTTTAATTTTGGCAGGAAAAAAATAAGCATAGGGACGGACGCCTGAATGGCTCAGTGGCTGAGCATCTGCCTTTGCCTCAGGGTGTGATCCCAGGGTCCTGGGATTGAGTCCCACATCGGGCTCCCTGCATGGAGCCTGCTTCTCCCTCTGCCTATGACTCTTCCTCCTCTCTCTGTCTCTCAAAATAAAAGAAAAAAGAAAAAAAAAAAGAATGTTATGATCAAAGTTCTGAGATAGTTTTTATAGGATCTGTCTTATAGGATCTGTCTCCTAATTAACATTTCTTTCTGGTCCCGTAACAGGGTGTTCTAGAGTAATTTTGCTACCTGAGAATCTATGAGGAGAGATTGCAAGCTCTGAAACAAAGAGAAAAATAATTTACCAGTAATTCCTGTTTAATTAAGGTGTGTCCCAATGGCATCACAATTATGAAATTTGTCATAAGAGTCAGAGAGAAAGGGATCATCCTATTTTTCTTAAGACTTGATAGCTAACTGTTCTGCCCACCTCTTTAATTCTAGAATTTCACTAGAGGAAGACTCACAAACTTAAATGAAATTAAAGATCAATTGCTTTCAAGCTTGAAGGATAAGGTGAACTAATTGGCGCCATGCAGGAAAATAAAATCCCTAGGGTTACTGGAAAGCAGGGTGTAAGACTCAGTAGTGACATGCCTTGAGAAACCAGAATGACTGGCAAGAAACTGTCCAGCCTCCAACTATGCCTGATCACAGTCAAAGTGCATCTACATACTGGAAGAGCTTAGAGCTTTCCCTGGAAGGGTGATACGAAATGACAAACACTGATGCAAAACTACAATAATGTGAGCAATCAGTCACTGGGATCTGTGCAATTATTTTTAAAGACAGAAGTCACATGTTCTCAAAATGAAGAGATCAAATACTTAGTAACCATTTATTAAGTGCCACCTTTTTAAATACAAAAGAGTGAGGTAGATCCCATGAGGGATTAGACGTCTAAGGTTTAAAAGTCTGACATGGTTTCCGACATCCAGGAGTTTAGAATCAATTTGCAGGATTAGGGCAAAAACACAAAACAACTAGTGTCAAAATATACAAACCAAGAGCATCCTAACAGCCAAAATCCATTCCATGCAAGGTCAAGGAAATTCAAAGAAGTGACCCAAATGATAAAGACTACACAAATAACAGAAAAACCTGTAGAAATTAATAGATAGCATGAAAACTTAGTGAAAGGTCCAGGGTGCTGCCACTTAAATGTACTTAGTAGTATTAAAATGACATATTTGCCAAAAATAATTATTACACATTCTAATTATATTATTTACTTTCATAAACACTTTCTTATAAAACTTCAAAGCATTTTATTAATATGCTCTCCTTATCTATGGTCAATAATGAAAAACTATTACTATCTTCATTGAGTGGATGTTCCCTAAGAATAAAGAAGTAAAATGAATGTTGTAGGCTAACTGGTGACCAAAATGTAAACCCATAAATATAACTCCCAGTTTAGTACTTTGCTAAAGACAAGTAAGAGAATGTATCGAATTGCTTTGGATTCTAGAAATAAAGTTACAGTGAAAATATGAGATGTTTTATTTTTGGTTTTTGTCATCAATAGGTAAATTTTAAGTGTGTCCAAGCCTTCGATGCTCTCCCAAGTAGTGAACAGAGGCAGTTACACCAAGAAGTTCCCATTTATTATCTGCAACATTCTAGAGGTACAAACACACATACTTATGGTAACAAGTTTAAAATAATTATGTTTATTAAATTACCTCTGTTAAGGCATTCCACAGTTCCTCATCCGTATGCTCATTAAAGGGATCCAGATTTTTCCTCATTGTTCCAGTGAATAAAACAGGTTCCTAAATATTCAAAAATAGTGTTATATAGCCCTCTTTTCATTTTATTTCAATGCTAAATTCCAGAACATTGTAAAATTTTAAACCAAAACTCACTATAATCATTAATAGTAAGGATACAATCACCTGTTGACAAAACAGTATCTCTATGAATATTCCATTGCACAAAGTGTAACCCAAAATATCTTCTGGACCACTGACCGCTAACAAAATAAACTGTTGAAGTGGGTCGTCTTAAGAAAAGAACGGAAGAGAGGAGGATTTGGTTTTTAAAAATGCCTTCCTAGTAATATCTACTTAAGCAGGAAAAACAAGGATATAATTATTTAAGGATACTCATCAAGAGAGTTAAGTTTATCATCACTCTTGCTGTGACCCTGGAAAATATCAATAGTATAATTCGTTGACATTTATGACTCAAAGCAAAATTGGAAAATGTGTCCACATTTGCATGGATACAAAAGGTAGGATACTTCCTCCACTGGTAGAATAGTGTTCTGGAATTAGGAGTCTCTTCCCATGTGCGAATGGGACACCCTGATTTATGTCCAAAGAGAATATGAGCTAATGGGCCAATTGGCGACTCTATGCATGAAGAGATGCCTCTGGTTTTGCACCAGCTAATCCTCACATTATCTTGTCTGAGCATCAGGATTACATGCCTCACAGAACCTCGTTATTAACTACAAGGACAGGATAACTTGAAACCCATTGTGACGTGCGAAATAATAATATTACTTTAATTTAAATCGCTCTTTCCTAGTCACTTGCTTCAGGAGGAGCCACAATTAAATCATTCTTGCAAGTATTATGTCTCCTTCTGGGTTTCAGGAGACAATCTGGTACCTAAGCTTATGTAGGCCATTTTTGTTTTCTTCTGGAAGGCTCGGATAACCCAGACCAAAAGAACATGTGCAGCAGAGCAAAGCCCAACTGGCTACTTTTAGGGAAGTCAGTAGAACAACGAGATGCACAGATGTGGAAGCAAGAGAAGATCTGACTTCCACAGGCAAGAGAAGATCTGACTTCCACAGGCATCCAAGAAGGGCTCAAGGGAATCATCAGTCTCAATCTCCCCTGACCTTGGGGCTAGATTGTTCCTCCTGGCTTCTCAAAAGCTGAGACTATAAGGTAAACATTTCTTCTCTCTAGCCACAGAGAAGAATTACACTCATAGTGCCTCTTGTACCTTCTTTCCCTGTGGTCTCAGTTTTAAGACTGAGGAGGGAGAAATGAATGCATTAGACAGATTAAGTGTGCTATCCAAAATATGCCTACCTGAAAGCAAAATCCAAATATTGAGACAATTAAAAAGGACACTTTGTTTACAAAGTTGATTAAAATTGGTGGCTGATATGCCCCAAAAGCACTGAAAAATAACTGGTCATAGGAGGTTTCAAAATGATTACTGAACTGAAAAATCCCAAGATCCCAGTTCAAAGTCTCCCTTAAAACTACTGAATTTAGGATCAAAGACTAAAGCACTATCTAGGGGCACCTGGGTGGCTAAGTGGTTGAGTGCCTGCCTCAGGTCATGAGCCCCCGGTCTTGGAATCAAGTCCCAGGTCAGGCTCCCCACAGGAAGCCTGCTTCACTCTCTACCTACATCTCTGCCTCTCACTCTGTCTTCCTAAATAACATCTTAAAAATAATAATAATAAACCACTATCTAATAAGCCATGGTAAGAGGTCCCTGTCAGCGTATTTTAGCCTTCATTCACTCTACTTCAGAAAATCTTCACATTCTACTTTAACTTACTCTTTTGTAATTATCAATTCAACAAACTCTCATTTCCCCTCCTCCAATTCCCTGAGGGTTCCATAAAGGAGGAGGGCTACTACCCTTCGTTCCTCACTTTTTCACAGTCCTCCTCCCACCAAGGCTCTAAACCATGAGTAATATCTGCTCCAGTGCCCAAACTGAGACTCTGATGACTGGTGTTTGGGGGAGATAAAGGGATGTAAGGAATCAGCTTCAAGGCCAGCCAAAGAAGTGGGAGGTGGTCTCTTTGCTTATACTAATCCCAAGCCGATCAGGGTTGACAGGACAGAACCATCAGGGTTGACAGGACCAAACGTGTTTGCCTTCAGGTGCCTCTCATAAAACAAACAAACTCACATCCGGTAACAGGTCTAGGATAAAGGGTCCACCTGGATTTTAAAGTACATTCTACAGAGCTGTTTCCTAAGCTAATCTACAAAAAATCCCGACTTGTTTTTCAAATATAGACTTTTCTTTTTTGGTTAAATGATGAAAAGGCCCAGTTCGCAGTTTGGGAGGCATTGTTTTGGTGGTTATTCAAGAGGGGAACACACATTTAAAATCCAATCCCCTATTTCATTCACAGGAAGGGTCTCTCCTATCACCTCCCTCATCTTCTCTTTAAGAAAAAGTCTTGAAATGGAGGAACCTGCCCCAAAACTGGGGGACTAACATGTGATTCTTTGCAGAAAGAGGAGTTGGTCTCTCTGACACTGAGCCTGGGGCTGCTTTGTGTTGGGCTCTAAACAGACATCTGAGATATCTAGAGGCCGTAGGGAGGTTCTGTTCATTACCAACAAGTCACCACTCTCATACAGGAAAAAAGTTGAGTTTAACCACTTCCCCTTGCAATCCAGGTCACCACTTAAATCTCTATGTCAATATAAAGGGATATAGTAGGTGATTACTCAAGTTCACTTAGCAATGTGTAGAAGCAAACAGTTTAGTAATTTAGAATATTTTTCTTTGTTATGACAGACTGAATATATATTTCCAAATGAATACAATTTCAGTCAAAACATGAAAGAAGAGAATGATTTATTAGAACGTTAACTGATTGAAGCTGTATTTTTCTTTAAAACCAGCAGGCAGTTTGTTAACAATGTCTGTTTAATATGCCAATGTGTATTATGCATGATGTTCATTTTGGTTTCTATTCATTTTACTTTCATCCACTTGCCAAATAAGAAACCACTATACTATCTTCAAAAGGTAATAAAAGTGCTCACAGTAGACACATACTGCAAGAGCAGATAAGGGTCAAATTAATCGTCATTTCTGATAGATACTATTATTTAAAGTACCCATGTCCAAGCAATGAAGTCTATAAACTCATCTTATAAATAAATGTTGTAAAAATGTTTGCAGGCATAACATTTCAGCATGGAGATTCATGGCAGGACATACAAGCTTCATGTAAACATATAATATACACTAAATATATTAACCTACATATTTTTCCTGAGGGTATACAATTAAACGTCATTTTGTAAGAATTACATGGCATGGTATAGTCAGGAAAACAAATGCTCTTTTCAGTGTACTATTTTAAATGGAATCTTAACATCAAGTCTGTTTTTCATTAAAAGCTTACCTTTTTTATTTTTTGTGCCATAGTCAGTAATTTTTTTCCTTTGTTAACCAAAGTAAGTTCAGATTAGCCATGTGACCCAAAAATGGCCACTCTGAATCAAAGCATTTAGTGTAGTAAATTGATAATCTCTCAACACAATTGTAAGACTAAGAACACGGTTTTACTAGGCCTTTTGTAGATGCTACTAGAAGACAAAGCTCTCATTATCCTAAAAGGAAATCCTACCCACTAACTTTCAGAAGCTTAAAACGACCCTGGTCCAAGACCAAAAAAAAGTACAAGTGGTTACAAACCAGGCAGATAAAGTACAACACTTTCCATACCTTAATCATTTCAGGCCCAAACCAGGAAATCTGCCCTCTCCTAAAACATAGCCTCCAGAGAGGCTGCTGGTCCCCTGTGTCCTAAGAGCTACATTTTCATTTCTAATCTGAGGACCTTTATTAAGGTAGCTTGTCTCTGTGTTTCAAGAATGAGAGAATCACCCGAAGAGGCTTTAAATCTTACTTTCCTTTTCAAAAAAAAAAAAAAAAAAAAGAATCCTATAGCCTCTGAATGAACTGATCATCATCCATATTCAGAAGAAAAGAACACTGTCTGCCAACAAAGGAAAAAGAATTTAAGTCCTGTAAAGTCCTCTTTCGATACAAAAAGGTCAGGAGCTCAGGGAGCACTACCCTGGGATTTAATGAAGACTTCAGTGTCAGAAACAAAAGGCCGACTCCATTAGGCTAGATTCCAGTTGTATTTCTTTACTAGTAACAGCATACTACCTCTTTCCTCTGAGTTCTGTTCTCAACAAGGAAAAACAAAACGAAAACGAAAACAAAAACAAAACAAAAATAGAGGAAATAAATCCAGGTAAGAATAAAAAAATCTTAAAGACACAGCTCTAGTTAACCTTTCCCACCTACCGAAGATAACCCAGGGAATGGAAATAAATACCAAGGCAGCAGAGTGGACGGCTTAAAAAATATGTAGCTTTGGCTCTGATTTTTTAAAGTCTATTAAATGTTTAAAAAAAAAAAGAAAGAAAAGAAAAAGAAAGAATCGGTTTAATCATGATAAAGATGATAGCTGTTGATCTGTGCCAACCCTTGGGGTGCAATCATAAATAATGAATTTGCATGGAATCACTTTTCAACTGAAAACATTTTCTTGGTGCCAAAAGGAAAAAGGCTTAGATGTAGAGAATCCATCCAAAAAAGTTTTGAAATCCACTTTTCCAGATCCTTTCAGATAAGCAAGCTATTCTCTAAATATAATCTCATCTTGCTATTCTCCGTAGGGAACATGTTTAACTATTTCGAGTCGTGAGCATAAAGAGAAGTGCCCATTTCAGCTACCCTTTTGGCAATTTAGGAAGGGTTTTCATTTTTTCCTTTCTGCTGAAATTTATACAAATTGAGGAGTACATTCCAAAGAATATTTGCTTTTGAATATTCCCGGTGGGATCGGCCCATGACTGTACCACCACTTGTGTCACTACTTCCTTGCCTCTTCTGAGGTGGGCAGTGGCTGGGATCGTCTCCTTCCATTTCTCATCTCTCCCTGCAGGGACCTGGATGAGCTGGACAAACGGGATGGCCATGGAAGCTCACTCCTACGGCCAGGCCCACCTTACAGCAAGCCACAGCCAGAGAAGGA